AAAAAGGAACAGAGTTTATTACGACGAGCAGTCAGCTGATTGGCCCGCACCACCTTTGTGGTCATGAAGCTTCCAACCAGTATCATTTCAGAAGCCAAGTCATCCAGCAGAGGCTGGCACCATAACCGATATAGGCACATCCCATGCACAGCACGAGCGCCAGCAGCTTCCCCTGAAGAGCAACGTATATCAAGTAGTCGACGATCGAGCTCGGGTCTTGAAACACTGAGAGCGGAATTGCAGCAGTCACGGCCCAAGGGAACGTTGACAAGAGCGATGACACTATATAGCCTGTTTGTGATTCCCTTGCTCCAGCCGGTAGGATACCGAGCTTGTCAACGAGCCACACAAAAACCACGTATCCGACCACCCCGGAGATCGCAGATACGAGGCTCACAACGTACAACCCGGCTGCTTGACACAATGTGTACAACATTGTGCTGTTCTTGTCCTGCAAAGACAAATGGTAAGAAGCCAAAAGAAATGAAAAGAAGCAATCACCTGTCGACGTGAGGGGTGAACTTTGGAAGAATCATCCTCAAGGTGACGAACTCCAAGCTGGCTGGTTCCATCAACCTTACCCAGTGGAGACACCGACGTGGCCCTCAGGGATGCACCAAGGCCAATGAAAGAGTAGGGACCGATGGAACACCTCCGTCCTATTCTGATGGGCTTGAACTGGACAGCACCGGCTTTCACCTCGTGGCACTGCAGGGTTGCACCCTCTCCGATGGCAGCACCGTCACCCAGCACCACAAGCCAAGGGTCTGTAATATCTGTTGTCTCCAGCTCAACTCCGGATCCAATCTGTGCTCCCAGCAGACGGTACCACCAGTTGACAAAAACCGTTCCCCGCAACTGATTCGCTACTATCCTGGCCGATGCGAAATCCTGGAGCCTGTAGCATGTCCACCACCTTACGAAGTTGAGCGACCACAGCGGGACTGTGGTCCGAAGATGAAGCACCGGAAGCAGGAAGCTCGTCCCAAGACTGGCTGCCAACGCCGTGGCTGCCATGTAGAGCAACCAGCACAAGGGAGCACAGAGCACCGTAGCAACAACAGGCCGGTCTGCAACCAGGGACGTGAACTGCCTCAGGATAAACGCTGCAGGGACGAGGAGCGTCCATGCCACGTAAATGATGCCCAGGAGCTGTAGAAAAGTGATGCACACTTGGCGTTGGAGCGATGGAAGAATGCCGGATTCCAGCTGAGAGTCCGTCACGATCTCGCCCTCAAAATCGTCATCTGTATAAGGTCCCCCGCGGCACGATGACAAGCTAGCTTTATCATCGATTTCAGTGCCCTGCTGCTGCTGCGTTACTACTGTCTTGCCGACGAGACCGTCCACCACGTCACACAGCTCAGATATGCAACCAGCAGTGTAGATGTCGATGGCCGCAACGTGAACTCCGAGAAAGTTGGATAGCTTCTGTGATGCCCACACCACCGCAACGGAATCAAGGCCGTAGTTTGCAAAGCTTTGGGACGGCGACAGCTTGGACATGTCGATGCCTGTCCGTTCGGAGATGATCTGGCAGATGAAGTTTGAGATCTCGGTCTTGCTCGGCCCCTTAGCCGAGACATCGGTTTCTGGTATCGCAGGTGGCACTACTGGCTGCGAAGACGTAGAGGACTTAGTGGTGAGCACCAGGCTCTCGACTGAGTCGGCAAGCTCTGAGATGCAGCCGGCCGTGTAGATGTCTATAGCAGCAACGTGAACTCCCAAGAAAGATGAGAGCTTGTGAGCGGCCCACACGACAGAGCTCGAATCCAGTCCATAATCTGCGAAGCTTTTCGTGGAAAGGACTTGAGCCTGAGATAATCCCAACTTTTCAGCCAGGATCTCCGTCAGGAAGCTAGTAACCTCGGCTTTGCTACGAGCAACACTGGCAGCAGACGGTGGCGGCGTCGGTGGTATCACGCCAGGAGTCCCACTAAAAGTTCTCGACCTTCGAAGCCTTAGAATTTTCTTAGTCTTCTCAATCGTGGGACTTATGCTGTCTAGCCTGTCCTCAGTGAACTGCTTCAAACAGTCAAGCCTCCGTATCTTTCCCGATGAAGTTTTTGAGATCGTTCGCGGCTTGACGAGCCTCACCGAAGCGACACTCAAGCCATGCTCACTCGCAACCATAGAGGAAATGTGTGCAGTGAGCTGCTCGGGATCAACCTTTGATTCGTCTCGCACTTCTGCAACCACCACCACCCCAACTTCGTCCTCGTCACAAACTTTGATCCCTTTGGAGTGGAGGGCTCGTCCAGGCGCACCAAAAGCAGCACAGCATCCAGGCCTGAGTGATCCGGAGCATGCTTCCACGGTCTTTTCAATGTCGGACGGGTAGACGTTCCGGCCCCTGATGATAATCAAGTCCTTGATCCGCCCAGTCACAAACAGCATGCCTTTGACCACCCTTCCCAGGTCGCCAGTCCTGAGAAACCTGTTAGCTTCTTCACCGCCTTCTAACCTTGCATGAAAAGTGTCCTGACTGAGCCTCTCGTTTCCCCAGTAACCGGCACCATTGCTCGGACTTCCCACCCAAATCTCTCCCTCCACACCGTCTCCCACTTCCACGCCAGTCTCTGGATCTACGATCCTCACATCCACGTCCGGGTTGCCCCTGTCCACATACCCGCAGCAAACCTTGCCTTGCCAGTCCACAACTAAAGGCCTGCCCCGCCCCCATGCAACGCTGACGAACACACAGTTCTCGGCCAGTCCATAACCAGGAGCAACAACCTCTTCCTTGAGCCCCGAGCTTTCCATGGTCTTGAGAAATCTCTTGAGCGTGGAGCTTCTTACCGGCTCGGCACTGACCATGAGGAACTTGAGGCACGAGAGCTGGTACGTGATGCCGGGTTGTTGGTTCATCTTGTTGACGACGAGATCAAACGCAAAGTTGGGTGCCGCGCTGTGCGTTGCCTCGTACTTGCTCATGGCCTCGAGCCACAACAAGGGCCTCCGGATGAAGTTCGTGGGCGACAAGAGAATGGCGGTGCCACCACTCACCAGCGCAGTGAAGAGGCCCCCGATGAGACCCATGTCGTGGTACTGCGGCAACCAGCTCACCAGCACCGTCCTGGACGTGCTCTTGTACCGCCGCCGCATCAGCTTCACGTTGTGGATGAGAGCGGCGTGGGTGATGATGACGCCCTTGGGATCGCCAGTAGAGCCCGACGTGAACTGGAGGAAGCAGCATCTTTCACTCTCCTCGGCCTCCCCGCGACCCCTAAAGTAATCCTCGGCCTCTTTGTTTTGCTTGGAAACCCACAAGTCGGTGTGCATCCAGGGAAGCTTTGGCCACGACGGTCGGCCGCCGGACCTCGACAGCAAAGTGTCTCGGATTGCTGACGCGCGCACGGCGGTGTGGTAGGCGACTGTGGACAGGATGGCCTTGGCACCGCAGGCGGCTGCCACATTCTCCACTTTGGCCAGCGCATGGGAAGAAGAAGAGGAGCTCCCTCGACTCGCGACGTCCGGAGGGATGAGGGGCACCGGCAACACCTATAGATAGCACACGAAGGTAAGCAAACAAAGCTTTCTCCTCTAGATCTCCACGACTTACATTAGCGCGCAGGCAGCCAAAGAAGGCCTCGATGAATTCCAGGCCGGGGTTGTAGAGGAGAAGCACTCGGTCCCCGTCATGGAGCGTGACCTTGTGGGTGACGAGATTGTGGGCGATGGTGTTGGCGTTGTTGTGGAGCTGAGCGTAAGTCCTGGAGCCTGATTCGTCACCCTTGTCGTCCAGCCAGGTGTAGAGGACCTTGTCCCTCGCCACGCTGTGCTTGGCATAGAAGTGGAGGTAAGAATCCAGGCATGGAAGGTCGGGAAATTCACCGCCCGTGGCCTCACTCGTCACCTCCAAGTCGCCACCCTCGGCTTCATCAAGCTTGATCGCTGCGCCCGTGATCAAGTTCTGCAAAGTTTGCTTAAAGCTTAGAAACGCAGAAGAAAAAGTTCCACCTTGACTTTTGCGGGCGTTCCAAAGTTCTTGGCGATGAGGTTCATCGCGTACGCCGCATTGCGCTCCGTGAGCTCGAAAGCAAACAGGCCTCCTACATAGTAAGTATCGTTGCATCCTTGTAGCGATTCAAGCCGGTCGTATAATCCAGATCTCATATCTGTGAAACCAGAAAGAAACATGTAATGCGGGGATAGAAAATTGTAGTGTGTGTTTACCTTGCGAGCCAATGTGGGGGAAGTAGTTCCATTTTCTTTGCAAGACAATGCGTTCCACAGTGCCACCAATACGTGCCACGTCCTGGAGCAACAGCGCGGTCATCATCTCCTGGCTGACTTGAGCAGTCCCATACGACCAAAAGAGATAGATGTTGGTGTCGGCATAGAATTTTTGCATGGCCACCGGGTGACCAATCTCCTTTGCATCTTCAACATTGTCTTTGAAATAGTAAAATCCGGCCGGGAACTTGTTCTCGAATCCCGAGATCTCCAGAACTGTTGTGTAGTAGTCCATAGTCCGGACCCTGCTGAAGAGGCTGGCTTCTTCGTCTCCAAGTGTCATTAGCTCCGCGCCTGGTGGAGCAAAGGGTATCGCTCCCGAGATGACGATCTTGTCGAACTCGAGCTCCTCTGATTCCTCGCCCCCGTCCGAGCTTGAAGTGCAAACTGTGACTCCTCGGCCGGATCCTCGTCTCCGGATCTCCGTGACTCTGGTGTTCAATCGCACGCGAGGTAGCAGCCTCGCCACTCCTTGCCACAAGCCGGTGTAGCCGCCCTTGATCCTGCAAACCTTCCCAAACATTGAGGTGCGAACGAACTCGTGCAAATACGCATAGGGGATATCCTGCTCGTGTGGGAAGCCATATCCAGAAGCCGTGTAACCAGTGGCAACAGCCTCTGGTATTCTTCCCATGCCGTGCTTGGCCGCAAATTCGGCTGCTGTCTCCGGTGCAAGGCTGCTAAGTGCGTGAACTCCAGTTTTACCAGTTGATGCTGCTTGTGCCTGATCAGAGACAATATCTATTATCAAAACCCTCGATGCATGGTTAAATCACCTGAAGGTCAAGAGTGATCTGGATCATGGAGATGTAGTCCCTGGCTATCCCAAGATCTTGGTACGTGCCAGTTTTGGAGTCGACAAGGCTGAGCTTGTGAGCCGCCATGTCTTCCATGCCAACTCTGGCCACTTGCGCGAGATGCTTGATGTTGGGAGCACTCTCCCGGGCAATCACCTGACCACCCAAGTCATACGGTCGCCCTGCCAACCGTGTCAAAATTTCACCAGTGATTGATTAGTGTTGAAGCATGTATATTACCTTGGATGTCCACGCTCTCACACATTCCTCCCACGGTGTGGTGCTTCTCAATAAGTGTGACTTGCTCATATCCCAGCTTCCACAGCGCATACGCTGCGGAGACACCGCTGGGTCCTCCCCCGACAACGCAGATCCTGCTGCTTCTTGAGAGCGACGGGTGAAGCTCCTCCAGCAGCTCATGGACTGCCGACGCTTCCATCTTTCTCGATGGATCAATTCGCAACTAAAGTTGTAAATCACATATATCCACACAAGAGATCTCTCTAGAGCTGTGTGGTAAAGCTATAAGCCGGCTGGCTCGCTCGAGGAATTTATATAGCGCGTATGCAAGATCATAAAGGCAAACAAGGGGGAAGCGGCCAAGGGGACAACACCAAAAACAACGAGTCGTCGGCATTGGCGAGAGCATACACACTGAATATCTCTATTGCGATGCCGGGATATATGAATATACCGGCCTTGTTTGTCCTGCGCTCACTAGGAATAAGAGATTCCAGGTGGAGGCATTTTTACCCCGTCTCTATACGCCAGAGTTGACAAAACCACATAGCCGAATTTCGAGCGACCAACATTGAGTGGACGAGAGAAAACGTATGAACTTTTAGCAGATAAAACAACCACAACGTTCACCACCCAGCCAAGATGCATCTATAGGCGAGAGATGAATGAAGATGCTCAGGTTTGCATCCAACAGGACTAATCCAAAGGTTGAGGTTATTTTAAACGAAAAGTGGCGATCGTGGATGGAATATGCCCATTGATGAGAAAAGCAAGGGATCACGGAGCTCCTGGTAAGGTACGAAGGAATGTAGGTCTTGCGCGGCACCAGGCGCCAGATCCACACCCGCGCCCGCCATGAGGAGCCGGAGCGATCCCGCCCACTGCACGCGCACCCTCCTCTCCCTCACATTCCTCGCGGTGCTCGTCTGCTCCGTCTACTACACCCTCTTCCTCCGATCTCGCCTCCACTCCGTCCAGCAGGGCCAAGGCCACGGGGATTTGCCCAGGAGCTCCAGCAAGGTAGCAATCACCACCGGCATTTCTACTGCCGCTGTCGATGAAGAAGAAGATGGCGTTGCCAGCCACTCGGAGGAGGTGGAGGAGGACGGCATCCACAGCCATAAGCTAGCGGAGGAAGAACAGTCCGACGATGCGGTGGAGACCACGGCGGTGCAAAGTTTCCTGGTACGTACGGCAGTGCAAAGTCTAAGGTTTTCTTTTTAAGTCTCACGCTTCTTGAGCTCACATCTCCTACAATGCAGGTGTGTGACGAGAAGTTCACCGAGATAATCCCGTGTCTCGACCGGACAATGCTGACTTACTTGAAGAACAAACCAAACTACACGCTCATGGAGCACTACGAGCGGCACTGCCCTCCTGCCGACAGGCGGATCAATTGCTTGGTGCCTCCTCCAGCCAACTACAAGGTAAGCGAGGAATTCCGTGTTTTCTCTCGTGACGAGTGAGACTGTGTTTGTCGATCAGGTGCCGATAAAGTGGCCTGCAAGCCGAGATCAAGTGTGGCGTGCGAACGTGCCTCACACATTTCTGGCATCCGAAAAGTCTGACCAGCACTGGATGGTGATCAAGGGAAACAAAGTCATCTTCCCAGGAGGAGGCACTCACTTCCACGATGGCGCTGATAAGTACATTGCCGGGCTTGGAAAGGTAGGCACACTCTTCATCTCCATTGTAGCGATGAACGTCTCGACGTCTCCCAGATGCTCAAGAATCCCGACGGAGACCTCAGCAGCAAAGGGAAGATCCGGACTGTGCTAGATGTCGGCTGTGGCGTTGCAAGCTTTGGTGCTTACCTTCTGCCGCTCGACATCCTTGCCATGTCCATGGCCCCAAACGACGTGCACGAGAACCAGATCCAGTTTGCTCTGGAGCGAGGCATTCCATCGACGCTGGGTGTTCTCGGGACCATGAGGCTGCCCTTTCCGAGCAAAGCTTATGATCTGGCGCATTGCTCTCGGTGCCGTATCGAGTGGGCTCAGCGGGATGGCATTCTGCTGTTGGAAGTGGACAGGGTGCTGAGACCGGGGGGATACTTTGCGTGGTCGTCACCAGCGGCTTACCGAGACGACGACGAGGACAGAAAGGAATGGGACGAGATGACCAGCTTGACAAGCCGAATGTGCTGGTCCATTGCTGCCAAGGAGGGCCAGACTGTGATCTGGATGAAGCCACTGACCAACGAATGTTACAAGGAGCGGCCGAGGAACACCAGGCCTCCTCTGTGCAGTCGACAAGATGATCCTGACGCAGCATGGCAAGTGAAGATGAAAGCTTGCCTTGTGCCACTGACCGAGCGTACGTATAAACACAGCTTCCCCTTGCCAGGTTTCTCACTCGTCCGCCACCTTGCTGGCTAAACAGAGAACGATGCCATTGGAGGCAGCGGATTGTTGCCGTGGCCCGAACGTCTGGTTGCACCTCCGCCGAGGCTGGAAGAGCTACACATTAGCGACAGGGATTTTGAGGCAGACACGGTATGGTCTTTGTCCAGATCTCGCTCGCTAGCTTGTTGACACGGTGATTGGAGTTTGCTTTGCTAGGCTGCATGGAAGGACAAGGTTGAGGCGTACTGGGAGAAGCTCGAGCTAGTGAAAGATTTCAGCGTTCGCAACGTTATGGATATGAAAGCTCACCTGGGTGGCTTTGCGGCTGCGCTCAAGGACAAGCCGGTGTGGGTGATGAACGTAGTGCCTGCCAGCGGCCCAAGCACGCTCAAAGTCGTCTATGAGCGTGGACTCATCGGCTCATATCACGACTGGTAATCAGCTCGAGCGTTGCACCGGTGCACTAATGTGGGGTCTTTGATGCTAGGTGCGAGTCATTTTCTACGTACCCGCGTACCTACGACCTGCTGCATGCGTGGGACGTGCTCTCGGACGTAGACTCCCACGGCTGCAGCGTCGAGGATCTCCTCCTTGAGATGGACAGGCTGCTTCGTCCCATGGGATACGTTATCATCCGGGACTCGCCCGTGATGGTGGATCAGGTGAAAAAGTACCTTGGGCCCCTGCACTGGGATGCTTGGGTCCAGGAGTTCCCCGCGGAGTCGGATATGATGCAGGACAACGAGGAGGCCGTGCTGCTGGTCCGAAAGCGCCTGTGGAAACCAGGCTCGGCTTTTGGGCAAGCGAGGTAGCATAAGCCGTGCTATCCTTTTTTCAATCGTTTTGGCTCTGGTTAGCTTGTCCTTGGAAGCTTTTGCGCAAGCTGAGAAAGAAAATGGCTGTGGAGATGACTTTTAAGTTGTTTCTCAGCTCTTTCTCATATCCAGTACTGAATTCACAGCATCAGTGAGGGAGAGGAGAACGCTGGAAATGCTCCTCAAGACTTCTACCTGGCATAGATCAGAGTGCCCATTTAATTGAAAAAATTAGGATTAATTAGTGAGAATTACTAATAATCATAGAGTTAAAGGAATATTTTAATCCACGTGACACTAAGGCAATTTTGTAACAAAGATCTTGGTCATCCAAGATATTCCTCTGCGATTGGGTGCTCAAGATCTTTGTTACAAGACAACAAATGAGGATTTGTAATCTGATTTTAAGAAATTTAGCTGATATAACAACAGAAAGGGTTAAATTAGGCCTCCCCTTTTCTAAAGCATTTAAAAGTGTTTAACAACACTTAATAATATTCTAAAGAGTGTTTTTTAGAGAAATCTCATAGTCTACCAGTAGTAATACAGTGGCTTTGTGTGTTCCATGGCCAGTTAGTGGCAACATAGTGGCCCTAGGATTGTGATTTTGAATTTTAGAGTGTTTTTGAGGAGTTAAATTTTCAGAGTGTTCTTGAGAAGATTGAGAGAGTTTGAGGGATAATTTTGGAGCAAAAGAGAGTGCTTCACAGCCTGCTAGCAGCAATGCAATGGTCTTGAGCAAATCTAAGTAATAAAAGAGTGTGCTTAGTCTCTTTCCTAAGGATGTGTAACAGTGGGGGAATTGGGGGTAATGGTTTAAAGCCTCCATCCTACTAGTTTTAAAGTGGCTTATGACTCACCAATGGAAACACAGTAGCTTTAAACTGTTTGCATCATCCTCTCTCACGTAAGATTCCTCGGCCTCTCCCGCGTCTTCCGGCCCCACTGCCCTCTGACTGAATATGGTTCTAATTGACTGTGGTTCTATGCAGCACAATAAGGAATCAAGGCTTCTAGCTCAATTGTTGGTCTTTCCAGCTAACAAGTGAATTGAGTAGCCTTGGATTTGTTTGACCTCCCTTACTATAGCCACTTTTGTGTTTTTTGGAGGGACTTGCCCAGGTGGGCTACATGATAGATTTGGGATATTGTGTGAACACGTGAGTGAATGGGTGAGTTCAATTATTCAACACACTTAAGTTATCAGAGGAGATGAGTTGACATCCTACACATAAGATGTAGAGGGGGTTTAATAGGAGCTTTTTGGGAAAAAAAACGGATAAATGGAAGTAGATTATATAGGCTTTTGGGATTTTAATAGAGGGTTGATTGTTGAGGAGATAAGTGGATGGAGAAGCATTAATAATTGTAGAGACTACAAATTATAAAGAAATCATAAAGATCTTTATATATACCTCAAGAGTAGAGGGATATAAGAAGTCAAAGGTAGCAATGAATAAGTGAAAAGTTGAGAGAAAATCTCAAGTGGTCAAATTTGAGATGAAGTAGTTGTAGGAAAAGGAAAATAATTTCCTTAGATGCAAAAATTCTTAAGATGCAGAGTGAGAAGGAATTTATAAGTCCAGCAAAAGAAAATAGCTAGAGGAAGTCAAGTGAAGCCAAAATGGCTAGTAAAGAATTTATGTGAAGAATGTTGCAAGGATAAAAGTTGCAACATTCTAGCTAAGAGAAGTTGTAGAAGCTGATACAGAGATAATCAACTTCTAAGACAAAAGATTCCATATCTATTAGTTGAAGTGGAATTTACAAATTGAGTATGATTTTGGTAAAGATGCATTTGACATTGCATCCTAATTGGTGGTAAGGTGGTACAATTGTACCATTCAGGCAAGGATAAAAGATCCACTAGGATATTCCTTTACATTAGATCTTTGCTATGAGACAAAGCATGAATGAGGATTTGTAATCCAATTTTAGGAGATTTTGCTGGGAGTAGGAGATATGAGGAACAAGAAGGATTAACTTGTGCCTCCTCTTTTCTGAAACATTTAAAGTGTTTAGCAATGTTTAGTAGTGTTTAACAGTGTTTTTATAAAACTTAGAATGGAAGTGTTTTTCAGAGAGATTTCACAAGAGGTGAGATTTCTTGTGAGGAATCCACTCTTTGTCAAAGGAGAATGAACCAGATAGCCTAAGGGCAAGAAGAGAAAATTCTTTCACTACCAGCCCTGAGAGCAAGTGGGAAGAAGAAGACCAAATGGCAAGATTTCCAATCTTCACCACCCAAGTGTAGGAACCAATTCCTGCCACTTCATTATTTGCTAATATGCTTAGCTTGTAATGCTTCTCAAAAGAAGTTCTTTGACAGTCACAACCTCACTTTATTTTAACCACCTTTTTATAAAAAACTGTCACGTGCCCGGGAGTGGACTACCAATCTGGAGGAAGTGCTACGTTTTGCCATCCCGCAATCTTGCATACTTTGTCCACGAGCTCTGGCCCTGCAGCTTCTATCGTGCAATTGGAGTAGCAGCTCTCGGGACGAAAGACTTGGTGTGGATTTCTGGCCTCCCACTGCGCTCCACCTAGAAAGACATCCCCGCTTGAGCAGACGCAGCCACACTCAGCTTCGTTTTTGTCGAGAGCCTGCAAAGAAACTGTTGTAAACGCTGTGAATTCCTTGCGGTAAATGCTTGCCTTCTCTGTGTAGTACTCAAATACTTTTTTCTTTGATCCTGCTTGGTATACATTGCCCTGCGAGCATATCTACAGACAGAGAGACACGTCAAAGGAAAGGATGAAAAAGAAGCAAGCTTGGAAGTACCTGAGACTCAACGCTAGCGCACACAGCGTAGATACCCCAGTTCCTCGTGTAATTGTTGTAAAGGTGGACTTTGGCGAACCTTACCCGGGGATGCCTCTGCCTTGTGCCGTCAAAGAAGCAATGGTGGATCGTGATTCGCATGTTTCGATCTTCTATGTGCTTTGCGTCGGCGCTGATGAGCATCGTCTTGTCGTGGTGGTGGAAGTGGCACCTGGAACGAGAGACAAGTGAGAGAACTCTTCAGTCAAACTGTGTACCTGGAGACCGTGATGTCGGTGCTCTGCCTTGTGATGTCAATCAGCCCATCGTCGTAGTCGGAGAGCGAGCATCGATCGATCCACACCTTCTCGGTGTTTGGCTTGATCTGGATTCCATCCACATCGTGGCCGCGGCCCCCCTGGAACTCCAAGTTACAGATGATGATGTGCTCGCATTTCTTGAGCTGGATGCCGTGCCCGGTGATCTTGATCCTCTGGCCTCGGCCATCGAGAGTCTTGCGCGACGCTACGCGGATCGCCGACGACACCGAAATATTTCCAGACAGATCAAACACGATCCAGAGCGGCTGTTCTTGGCGGCAGCCATAGCGGAGGCTCCCAGGCCCATCGTCTTGGAGAGAAATAAAGACCTTAGCTCATAATTGCTGCCTAGAACACAGGATCCTCACCGGCAAGGGTCGTGACATGGTAGACCGCTCCTTCCAGACCGCCGATGGATGCGCTCCCAAATCCCTGCGCGGCCCTAGCGAGCGCTCGCAGCCTGGAATCCACATTCGCGTAGGGACCAGGCACCGATGGAGCTGGATCGGGCGTGCCGTGATGGATTTCGATTCCCGGGCAGCAGCATTTGCGCAGCCGATTCATCTGGGAAGAACACCCAAAGGGTAAAGTAAAGGGGGTTTAAAAGGCAGATACCTCGATAGAGGTGGCGGAATGGTGGGCGGACAAAGAGGCAAGGTGATCGATGTGAGGGAAGTTTGCGATGCGTTCTATACAACGTGTGCTCGAGGCACTCGAGTTCGTCCGGCTGTTCCATTTGAACGGGACTTCGGGCAAGACCGTGGTACTCCATTATCCGGACTGAAATTGAACGGCCGCAGTCGCTCATTCTCTACCAGACAGGATGGGAGTTTTGTGGCAGGGCTCTTCGGCTGGTGCCAAAGATGGAGTATCCTCTCCACAAGATCGAATCACCGGAAGTTACCTTCCATCTGATCGATCAAAAGATCTCTCCTGAGGGACCATTGGCAAGCGAGCTTGCCTTGGCGGACGAGGACAACACCAAAGCCCAATACCAAGCTCAAGAATGTGTCTGTCATCCTATTCTGCTGGTAAAGGAAACGTCTTGTACGTGACGCCCGGCAGCCATTTCATGCGTTTCCACTGCACATTTTGCTCAGAGAAGGTGGCAAATCTTTACGCTGGGTATTTTGTGTAGAATTCTTCCGTCTTATCCCGACTTCGTCTCTGAAGGTTTCTCAAAAAGCTGTCAAAGGTGCGCGATTTCATATGAGCAATTGACACTTTCTCTCTTTACCAGGGATTGTGCAGTGTAAGGTCTGCCAGTATCTGGTTCAAGTCCCCACGACATGGATATTGCTTCTCTAGATCCGAACTTCGAAGCTTGCCCAGAGGATACTGTCAAACAACCGGAGAAGTCACTCGACCATGCTGATTTTGAAGAGTGGGGCAAACATTATCTAGACATGTGTTCATTCCTGTTCTTGGCAATTCCAGCTGCTAGCCATCCCAATATGTAGGGGCGGGATGGGACACTAACAAAGCACCCACGGTGATGAGGACTTCGTGTAGAAGTTGCAAGGCCTTTGTGTATGAGATGGAGGCAGAGTTATCTCAATGCCACGAAGGACGAGCTCACAGATCTTCTCTATGCAAATTGATAAACACACCTAAACACTCTCAAAAGTGATCAATTTCTCTAGTCCTCAAGGGTGGTTTGGAGGCTACGTCACAGTAAAATTTTGTAGCAAGTGGCATGGAGCAATCATCCAGACAATCATATGAATGCATTGATAAGTTTTTGATAGGAAAAGGATTTACTAAGCTTGCTTCAAATGGTATATCTATATGCGAGAAGAAGGTGACCAAGATTGTGTCATTGCTATCTATGTTGATGATTGTCTTTTGGCTGGAAACTCTTCGGAGTTTCTGGAAAAGACCAAGGATTTATCTTGGTCAAGTGACAAAACTTTTGGGAATGGAAATTAAGAAGGATGCATATACTGGTTTTATAGTTGTAACTCAACATAGCTATATTCAAAAGTTGTTGCATTAATATGGTTTATAGAATTGAAAACCAACGCCAACTCCCCTTTGCTGCAACTAATGGACCTATACTACAATTATCAAAGTTTGGTCGGCAATTTATTATATGCTGCTACTGATATCTCATTTGTAGTTGGAATTTAATTCGGTACATCATTGCACCAACTCACATCCACTTACAAGCTGCAAAGAGAGTTTCATGGGTGCACAAAACAAAATACATTGAGATTCAATGTCACTCCATTCGTGGACAGATTGAAAAGTGGGAAGTGCACTATGTTCCCACCAAGCCGTAGACAGTTGACATTTTCACTGAGGCCCTTGGTAAAAGTCAGTTTATCTTTCTTCAGACTCCTGCTAGGAGCTGAACAGAGGAGTTTGGGACTCAGAGCGTTTTAGCTTATATATATAAGGTAGGATCTTCTAAAACAACATATGGTTTCTTCTATTCCTTTTCCCTGAGGACGGTGTCAAAGCTCTCGTGGAGTCATGCGAAACAGAGGCAGACAGGTAAGTTGAGCAAGTGATGGAGAGAACCCAGCGCTACTTTACTTGGGGTGCTGGGTAACTTCTGTTAGTTTCAAAATGCCATGATTATGATAAACTAAAGCAACAACAGAATTCCAGCTTGCAATTTGTAGTGAGCCCGAGAAGATTGCTTCGCTACCATGGCAAAGAGCGGTAAGTCGATCATGGTAGAGAACTCAATAGGTTCTACTAGTACAGATATGCATGCTACTCATCGAATGCTACTGGTTTCTCCTCCAGGCTCTACACGCAAAACAGGAAAAGCCATAGGCAAAAACTGGAGAAGAAGAAAACAATGTGTGTATTGTTTGGTGATAAACGTATGCCAAATGGATCACTCGAGAAGTATGGCCCCGGAGCTCGGCAATCCTGATCATGGACGGATATACACAGCTGGTTGAGGCTGTAGCCATGGCTGTTGAGAATCTTCTTTTGATGCTGGCTCCACTGTAGAGCACACACCTGCGTGAACATGTCAAGAGCTTAGCAAAGGAAAGATCGAGAGGAGCAAAGAAGACAGTGGAGAAGAAGAGATGATCACCTAGATGTTATTGAGACACTTCTTACAGTTTGGTTAAAGTGAAACATAACAATTGCTTAATTTTGATATTATTCCAACTTAATTTTCAATATAAACAACCAGTGTGTTGAACTACAACGATATATTTCAACAAAGATAGGAATATCTAACTACAAACTCAACTCATTGAATGTGTGTATGTTTGAGCATTTGCTAGTAAAACAATAGCATAGGAGGGGTGGGTCGGTAGAATATAGTTTATGGAAACTTTAGGTTGATGTTACGAATTTACATGGATGCATGCACAGATCAAAGAGAAAACAAAGGGCATATGCAAGGGAATAAGGGGCTCTTTACCAGACTGCAACATAGGAAACGTGTAAGAATATTTGAAACCGAACAAAGCACAGGCTTAGCCAAAGGTCTTCATCTCTGTCTTCTCCCAGATGCTCAAGAATCCCGACGAAGACCTCAGCAGCGACGAGAAGATCCGGACTGTGGTGTTGCAATTGCGCTCGAACCGGACCTTCCAGACCGCCGATGGATGCGCTCACATGTCCAGCCCAAACGACGTGCACGAGAACCAGTTTGAGCAAAACTAGACCCTAGATTGAGATGGCGAGCACGGCGATGACGATGCCGCCGCGGTGCGCCATTGTGACGGGCGTCGCTCGCCGGCGTGGCATCGGGAGGAGCATCGTCGACTGCTTCCTCAACGAGGTGGGGAATCGCTCGATGGGTAACACTCAGGGTAATCACATAACAGGGCTACTGCGTTGTTGGAAGTGACATCCAAGCGCTGGAAGAACAAGGGAGCTGCGTCACCAACAGCAGGTTTCACTTTGTTCGAGCCGATGTGAGCGACGCAGCGCAAGCCAAATCGATTGTCCAGGCCAGCTTGGAGCGATTTGGACACCACATTCACGTCCTCGTCAACAACGCAGGCAAGAGAGCGAGAGCGAGACTCTGATTATGAGTGTCATGGGATTTTGTTTGCTTGATCACACACAGCCTTGACTCGTGGAGAGGAAGGACAAGATGCCATTCAAGCTTTCGACGCCATGCTCCGTGTCAACCTGAACGGCCCCTTCTACCTCTCGCACTACGCCATCCCACACATGCCCCGCGGCTGCTCCAGCATCATTCATGTGTCGAGCACCCGAGCCCTCCAGAGCGAGGCTGACACTGCCGGCTACACCGCCTCCAAGGCTGGCCTCTGTGGATTGACGCACTCGCAGGCAAGCTCCTCGGCCACTTTCTTCTCATTCACAAGTGAAGTGTATGTCTTCACAGGCTATAACTTATGCGGGACACGCCCGAGTGAATGCCATCCTCCCCGGGTGGATCAACACCAGCGACGAGCACGAGCACGAGGTGGCGATCCGCGAGGTAGACAAGAAGTGGCATCCCGTGGGCCGCGTCGGCGAACCCGTGGATGTGGCGCAGCTTTGCCTGTTCTTGTGTGACGAGAGCAAGTCGGGCTTCATCACGGGCCAGCAGTTTGTGGTGGACGGGGGCACCACCGTCAAGATGGTCTACCCGAGCTGAGAATGTTCACACCACTTTGTTTACTTTTTCCATCTCAAGGGATCACTGGTCGACGAACAGTGGCCGAACAAACTGCCATCACAGCCCACACACTAGGAGATTACTGTGCGCCACGATATCATGTTATGAAAGTGACCACTAGGGCAGAAAAGTCTGTACAGTCCGTGAGTGATTCTACTCTGGGCCAGTTTCAGCAGCAGATGTTGTTCCAAAGTATGATGGGGATGGCTTTCCACAACAGATTCCTCTGTGTTGACATAGTGACTTAACTTGGAAAGCCTGGAAGAACTCGGAGGTTGCCCAGTGCGATGTTCTTGAGCTCAGGCGGAAGTTTGTGCCTACCTTTGTCGCAGAAGTGGACTTGGCTAGCACGCTGTCGTGCGGTCTCACGCACAGGAAATAGCAATTGGGAGACGTCTCCCAGTTGGGAATCCCTGGCATAGTCGTCTTGACATGCAGAGACGGCCAGGCCTTGTCCACCACTTGAACAAACTCGGACCACACGCAAGGCTCACGTCTCGTCTTACAGATGTTCTGCAGAGAAATATCCCCGTGGTGCTTGCAGCACCTCAGACACTTGGTTGCTTATGTCGTAGACTTGCGAGTGTGTTATCGGCCTGGAGGCCTTTCCAACGGATCCTCCAGCCTCCACGATCACCTGAAAGAGCATCGTAGAGCATGTCCCTCTCAGTCTGAAACCACCTCTCCCAAGCCCAGTCCTGTTCTAATCTCTCCAATGCCTCCTGCTGGTGGCAGTCGCCAACATCCGGCTGGATCAACACCACCGACAAGCACGAGCACGAGCACAAGGTGGTGATCACGCATCCCGTGGGCCGCGTGTATGACGGGCTTCATCACGGGCACGACTGTCAACCCGAGCTGAGAATATTCACATGCTCGTCTCACTTTGTTTTCTTTTCTGTCTCTAGACTGTCCAAGGGATACACCCGTCGACGACCACGACGTGAATATTCTCTTCCCACTGTGCTTTCCTTTTTCCTGGCCTGGGCTTTCATCCTCTATACTATAACTTACTAGGAGCAAGGACTGTCTCTAGCTAACTTGGGCTCTCCTCACCCCATAGCTTCCAGTCACTCGAACCCAAGAGAGATCAGGAGGCAAGTGGCAGTGGCATATGTGGAGATCGTGCATGGGGCTCCCAAGTCTGGGTGAGAGCTAGCTAGTTACATTGCTCATGAAATCTCTCCTCATTCCAGATTTCTTTGTGTGCTAGGATGGCTTGCTCCCTCGTACCAAGCAACCGGCCGCAATTGGAGGAGCTGAGGAGAAGGCTAGGGAAGAAGAAGAGGGTTGGTTCCTTCCTCCTCAACTTGCGGAGAGGAGAGGGATCCAGCAGCCAACATGGAGCTCGAGGTGAGCGGCAGTACTAGCAGCGCGAGGAAGAGGCGCAGCACACGGTTGAGGAAGGCGGCAGACGAGCAAGGCGAGGAGCAAGGAGGAGGAGGCGCGCTGAGCGTACGAATGCCCGTCTATCTCAATGTCTACGATCTCTCGCCCATCAATGGCTACATGTACTGGGTCGGCCTCGGGATGTTCCACTCGGGCATTGAAGGTAAGCAAAGGATTGATTGGGTTGAGGGGTGCCGATAGATTCGTGTGTCATCCCCCGCAGTTCACGGAGTGGAGTACTCGTTCGGTGCCCACGACTTCTCCAGCAGCGGCGTGTTTGAGGTGATCCCGCGCAGCTGCCCGGGCTACACGTTTCGAAAGGCCATGGTGCTGGGCAGCACCGAGCTGAGCGCTGGCGACGTTCGCGAGCTGATCGAGAGGATGTCCATCGCCTACACGGGCGACTCGTACCATCTCATCTTGCGTAACTGCAACCACTTCACCAACGAGGTGAGCCTGCGCTTGACGGGCTGCGCCATCCCCGGCTGGGTCAATCGCCTCGCAAACATTGGCATGTGCTCCTTCGGCTCCTGCATCATGTGCTACAGGCTCCGCGTCCACCACCAAAACTCCTCCCCGCCGCCCATGCTAGCTCTCAAGGATTGCTGATCCAGAGAAAGCCCACTTGGCCAAGTGTATAAGATCCATCCACGCTTGTCTCTTTGATCTGGATCGCCGCCTGCCTTCACAGACAAAGGAGAGACAACACTCCAAAGAGCGCCTTCCTTGCGGGATGGCCGACGACAAGCTCTACAAACTACTGTTGTTTAGCCAGGCCGGAGTCGTCACATTATGTGGGTGATCCACGACAGTGTCTGCTTGGAGCAGGGCGACGGAGGCAGGCACTCCACCTCGCCCTCGCCATCGCTGGAGCCACGGTACGACTTACAGCCGGCGGGGACCATGAGGCTGGCGACTGGAAGCGAGAAGTCGCTGCAAAACTCCTTGAACACCTGTTCCACTATCTCCCTGTAGGCCGGACAAGTGAGGAGGTGGTAGTAGCCGAAAAACTCCTCCAGATCGACCAAGTTGTCCAGGTCCTTGGACAGCACCATGGACACAACCTCGTGCCAGTTATCAGCCAGAGGACGCCACGCCGGCGACGATGATGCTGTTGCTGGCGGAGCGTGACGGGCGCTTCGGGAACGAGGAGGGACGAGTTTTGATGCTGCTCTTGACGACGACGAAGGAACCACCAGCTGACCACTCCGGGGGATGAAGACTTCGTGCTTGGTCAACCGCGGGGATTGGGAATGCAGGTTGAGTGGCCCGCTGAAAGGAACCCACGGTTGCTCGTCATCCTCGTCTCCGCCGAGCCGCGCCAACTTTGTCGATCTTCCCGTCGACCTTGGAAGCAATCTTAATCTTCTGAGGAACCCGGTGGCCGGCGAGCATGGTGGAGCTTTGGAAACATCACCCTCGCATCTTAGCACCATCTTGTGCGCCGGCCCCTGCATCAAGCTCCAGTAGACTAGCTTTCTCTTTCGCCGCCTCCTCTTTGGCCTGTAACTTTGGCTACTGAAACACCAGGACAGGGATATAAGCTCTGGCGGGGCGGCCATGCGAGAGGGAGCTTACCACTGGCGCGTGCCTAATAAGCAAAGGACCCACAGAAGAAGATGAGACGTGAAGGAATGATGGAATTCCCACACGTTTCATGATATGCCAGACTAACTAGTCGTGTCCTGTGGCCGAGCAAAACAAGCGCTTTAAACGCAGAAAAACAAACCTCTCAAAGTCTTACCCAGGGAATGTATGTCAGCTGATCATTGCTGTTAGATTCTGTGCGCTCTTGGAGCGACTCCAGTATTCGTGCACGAGGCCGGCAAACAAAGAGTCGCGACGTCTCAGCAGCGTGGAAGGAGAGGCAAACTCTTTCGATGTTCCTGCACCAACAAACAAACAAAAAAACAATCGCCACATGCATTTACAGCGAAATGGAAGTGGAGGGAGGCCTACCATTGTCCAGGACAAGGACTTTATCGCTGTCCATGACGCTGGGAATCCTGTGCGCGATGCTGATGACCGTGCTTCCCAAAAACTCCTCTTTGATTATCTTTTGGAGTATCCAGTCAGTGTGAGTGTCAATGGATGCTGTTGCCTCGTCAAGAACCAGAATTCTGCTCCTCTTGAGCAGCACCCTCCCCAGGCAAAAAAGTTGCCGCTGTCCCATGCTCCAATTCTCACCATTTTCAGCGACTGGAAATGGTACTGTCACCTCAAGAAGAAAAGGAAACGGAAAGCATAACAGACCTTGAGCCCCCAGCTTCAACTCGGATTGCTTCACGGTCTCGGCAAGCTGGCATTTCTCCAGAGCCTGGAAAACACCAAAGGCGACGATCACGAGGAGTGAGCGTATTGAAAAGAAGATGCGCACCTCCCATATCTCCTCGTCTTGATACATACCAAGCGGATCAATGTTGCTTCTCACCGTGCCTTCAAACAGTGTCGGGTCTTGAGGGATGATACTCAGCCTCGACCGTAAATCGTTTAGAGAAATGCTCCTGATATCGATACCATCTATGAAAATGGTGCCTTGGACTGGCTCCACCAGCCTGAAGAGAGCTTGTATGAAGGACGACTTTCCGCTGCCAGTTCTTCCAACAACACCGAGCTTCTCGCCCCCTTGGACGACGAAAGTTACATCCTTCAAGACGAGGGGCAATCCTGGTCTGTAGCGAAGCTGGCAGAACAAAAGCCATACAAACCATGTCCTTTCTTTCCCAAGCGAACTAGATATTCTACCTGCAAGCTTTGAACAGCAACGTTGCCACTTTGAGGCCAGCTGACCCCTGGACCAGCGTCCTTTCCAGCACTTTGTTCCTCTGCTTCGATAGAGCTAAACTGCAAAATCCTTTCCACGGCTACCATGTTCTGTTCAATCTGGCATATGTAGAAGATCATGTAGTTAAGGCACCCGCTCAGTGCTAGCCCGTAGGAGAGTGAAAGGCCAACAAATTCTGCAAAGAACGAAGTGTAAGTGTCATAAACAAAAGAAAAAGCAAAAAATAAAGAAAACAAAGGATGGGACATGGGAAAAGAATCACGACGAACCGGGATTAACAAAGCTTTTAGGAAGGAGCACCAGGAAGAGAGCGGAGAAGCAAAGTATTACAATGCCAATGGTCTCAAGTCGGAAACTGAGCCAGTCGTTGGCAGCACCATTGTGAAAGCTCATACGCACGTTGATATCGATACGCTCCATATTGACCCTGGCAAAGCGCTCTTGATGGCCAAAAGCACGGATTGACATCAAGCCAGCTATGGTTTCCTTGAAGTGGTGGATAACGGGAGCGTCTGTGATAGATTTCAGCCGCGTCAGCTCTCTAGATGTGGCTATAAAGTATCTCTGCAAACAAAATTCATCTCCTGGAAGGTTATCACATAAACAAAACATGCAATGGAGCACCTGGTATTTGAAATATATCCATGCCAGAGGAAGAAGCACAAGAAGAAGCTGCCATGTTATCTCGGAAATCACTACAAACACTCCAATCAGCTGGAAGCCATTCGCGAGGCTACTCCCGTAAAGAAAAGGAAGAGTGAAGTCGACTAGAACTTGATCGGTCGAAGACTGCACGACAAAACAATCAGAAGTCCTCATCGATTTTGGTGTGAATTAAGAGTGATATACTCTACCCGAGTTAAGATTCGTCCCGTCGGAGTAGCGTCAAAGAATGATATCGGGGCCCGAAAAATGCTCCTGAGCATCGAGAGGTAGAGCTTCTGAGCGGTGACCAGCCCGCAGTAAGAGATAAGTGTGCTACGCATTAGCACAAAGACCCCACTGCCAAGGGCAAGCAGTGAGTAAACAAGGATAAACTTGCGAGGCCGGAAGAAAGGCTTGTTCTTATCCGAGGTTGCGTGAGCCAGCCAGAAGTCACTTGCAATCTGTAGGCCTTGCCAGGCGCTCTGAATCAGCAGAAAGACAATGACGTGAAATCCTCCGAATGCTTGCGTGACATAAGCCCAGTAAACACGCCCGTCCACTCGACCTTTGGCTCTCTCCTCCTCCTCCACATCTTCCGCTTGAGCCGATTCATCAGCATTGAACTGAGATATCTGGAAGTCGTCACCAGAATCGAAAGCCCGGCCATTCTCTGGCCCGGTCATGCCTTGGCCAACGTCAACAAGTTGCAAAGCTTGGTGGTGAGCTTGCACAAGGTCGGAGAAATGGACACCATGCTCGAGCAGCTCCTCGAATTTACCCGACTGAACAACTCTGCCTTGCTTCATTACCTGGTACAAAACATCCACCATGAACAAGCAGTCTTCACGAGATTTAGCCTTACCAGGATTAAGTCCGCCCCGTGAAGAAACTCTATCTGGTGCGTCACCAAAATCACAGTTTTGCTTGACAAGGCACCCCTCACGCAATCCTGCCACGGTTCACAGTTTTAAACACAGGAAACACACAAAGAAGAACAAGAACGTACCATGAAAAGTGCTGTTCCGGTGTGTGCATCCACGGCACTGAAGATGTCGTCAAGCAGATAGACGTCGGCATCTTGGTACACCGCTCTGGCCAGCTGAATGCGTTGCTTCTGGCCACCACTGAGATTAAATCCTCGCTCGCCAATGACAGTCAAGTCACCAGCCACGAACTGAGCAAGATCAGCTTGCAAGCAGCAAACTTGGAGTGTCTGACGGTACCGCTGCAAATTCATCGCGTTCCCAAACAGAATGTTGTCGCGGATCGTTCCGTTCTGGATCCAAGGACACTGCGAAACATAGGCCGCTCGTCCACTCACCTTTACCTGGCAGAACAATCGATCGCTCAGATGCAAACCATGCAGAAGAAAACCAAAAAACAAACAAAATACCGTTCCAGACACTTTGTCCATCTCCCCGAGAATGCATGCCAAGAAGGACGACTTGCCAGATCCCACAGTTCCAACAACAGTGACCAGGCTCCCAGCCTCGACCCTGACATCCAACTTGTCCAGGACGGGCTTGTCCCCATCAAAACTCCACTTGAAGGTGGCATTTTCCAGCAGCACCGCGACGTTGTCAATGCCGGGTGGCCGCCTCTCAACACCAAGAGCGTCAATCTCGTCGCTCTCAAGATAGCGCTTGAGCCGAGTGAGAGAAGTAGCTGCCTGGGAGCCGGCCATTATCACGGACGGGAAAGCTCGCAGTGGATCCTGGAGTATTCTAAACGTTGCAATGGCCGTGAAGACTCGGCCAGCCGTGAGCTCCTTGCCGACGATCACACACATTCCAAACGTCGCCACCGACACTGCTAGCGGTGACAGCCACAGGAAAAAAATGCTGGTGGCACCGATGTACATAATCTTGGACGCCCAAACTTGCTCCTTGTCACGGGCCTTCTCGACGAGCCGGAGAAACCAGTCTTGCCAAGCCTGCATCTTGATGATCTTCATGTTGGTGATGGCCTCGTTGGTCACCTTCATCCGAGCGTCCTTGCAAGCCATGATCTGCTTCCAGTACTTGCGCTGCCGGGACGAGATGAAGAGGCAAAATGCCATCAAGGTGATCATGCTGGCCAGCCCCGCGACTGTGGACACCCCGACCACCCGGAACAAAATGGCCAGAGCTATGGCGATCTGGATGGGCATGATCCACAGGTTGTGGAGGTTGAGCACGAAGTTGGCAATCTCTTCCACGTCCACCGACATGTAGTTGACGATCTGTCCCGTGCCGTGCTCCTGGCGGGCCGAGTTCGAGAGACGCAGGCTCTTGCGAAACACTGCCGCTACCAGCGACGATCTGACCGACAAGCTGAGCTTCCTCGTCCCAAAGTTTCTCTGCCGCTCGGTGAGCTCTTCCACCATCTTTGCAACCAACAGCAACGAAACCAGCCCGACTCCTTGGCTCCAGTGACCACCTGGTTTTGACGCGAAGTCGATGAAGTGCTGGATCATCAGGGGTCCGACGTACATGACCGACACCTTGAGCAAGTACAGGAGGCCTGTGAAAGCCAGAGGCCAGCGGCGCGAGTGCATGAGAGCCAAGGCAACCGAGCGATCCGCTTGCTTGGCCCAGTTAAGCTCGAAGGCATGGCACAGCGTCTCGGCCCTGTCCTCCACCGCGAGCTCGGGAATGTCGTCCACCTCAAGCGTCCTCGTGCTACCAGTCTTGAGAAGTGGATCCACCCACAGAAACAAGGCCTTGCTCACGTATCCCGCTCTCGCGTAGCGCGTCACCCTCTCAGGATCTCCAGTGTTACTGCTACCGCCCGCCAACAATGCTTCCTTCGTGTCAATGGCTTCCACCATCCTCAAGCCAGTAGCTCCTCGAGGAGTGACCAGCAGCAATGCCAAGCTCAGCAGCGCGGTCCCGGCCGCCGTGAACAAGTCCAGTCCTGGAATGATCCCGGCGCCTTGATCCGGTAGCACGATCCAAGACACGAGGCCGCAGAGAGCGTGGACGGAACCAGACATGCAGCTGAGCGCCCACCACGCTCGGAGCACAGCCAAGTGATGAGCCAAGCCATGGCTCTCCTCGTAAGCGAGGAGGAGCAAAGACGTAGCCCATGCCACGGCCTGCGTGAGCGGGAAGATGAGCCTGTGGAGGAGGAGGCGATCGCGACCGTGGTGGTAGTAGCGCAGGCAGTTCCAGGCGGTGACGAGTGTGTGAGCAACGCCGAGGAGCATGGTGGCGGCCTGGACAAAGGCAAAGGTGCCCGCCTTCCTCACGCTCTTGTTCTTCCTTTCCTTGGCAGCGGCGACGCGGGCGAGAGCGACGACCAGCCCCGCCCAAGCGATGGAGTGAAGCATCGAGAGCACCATCGCTCTCGCGCATGGGTGAATAACTGTGACATCCAGCCAACCTCCTCCTTGATCGCCGCCGCACAACCACGCCACTCCCATACCTGATGATGCGCTCGCTAAAAACCTAGGAAGGATTATCGCCCAACAGCCAGGGATGATCCAATGTGGAACCATCTTTCTCTGACAGCTTCCACTCAAGAGAAAGCATCTTGGTATCATAAGTATTATCAAACTCTTAGAACTCAGACAAAATGCTGACACAGTACCTCTCCCTCTCTCTCTTCCTTGCTCTCTTTTTGAAGCGCAGCTTCCACTCAAGCAAAAGGTCTCTTGGTTTCTTACTTGTCCAGCAGGCTTTTCAGCTTGTACTCAATCCACTCGCGGAATCGCCGTGCTCGGCTCAACGGAAATCTGTGATGCTTTGGCGTTTGCTTCTGGCGTCGGAACAAGTCTTCGGTGTCCAGCACGTATGAAACCTGTAATGCCAAGGCAAATGATCAGAGAAGCAGCGACCAGCGACGAAGGCTCTACCTTTGAAGTCTTGCAGGATATCTTGTATTCCAGGCCATTGACAACTTGGACGTTCTTCATTAACTCCCGCTTCTACAGTTCTGTGCTTGTTCCTGTAGGCACGACAGACCGATCTACAACCAGTGACATGGTCTGGTGTTCCTTCATGTCGTCCCGCTGCCTGCCTCTTCCCCCAGTCTTTAGATTTTTTTT